GAGCTGCCCGATACGGTCAAACGTCGAGAGATGCAGAGTGATGTAGTGTCTGCCTCGCCTGCGAACCCTGGCGAGCCGGAAACCGCGCCACGGCGTCAGCCAGCAAATGCACAACATCACGGGGCAGAGCAGGACAGTCGCTGCAAACAGACTCAGCAGATAAATAAACAAATCGGACATCAATGTCTTTCCTGAAGAATAACAGGTAGTTGTCTAACGGGCTTTGATGAGGTAGAAAACCGCCCTGTTTTTTGTGCGGGTTTCTGTTGATATCCGGGCATTGCCCCAGTGCGTGTTCACATTGCCGCTGCGGTCGTTGTACCAGCGTAAACTTTCGCCGCCCGGCGTATTGCGGGTCAGGGTTGACGGCACATTGTCATGGTATCCTGTCTCGGTACCCGCGATATGCGTGTGATCCTGCAGGGCATCACCCTGATAACTCAGGATGCCTCTTGCGGGTTCGGAATCAAGGCCCGCGCCCTGATCCAGACCGCGTAACACGACGCCGCGAAAATCGGGCACTCGTCCGTCAGGGTAGTATGCGGCAAGCGCCGGAAATGCTGCTTTTGAGAATGAAGAACCATTGCAGATTAGCCAGCCGGAGGGAATATTTCCCGCTCCCCAGGCAATGATCGTTCCGACAGGCACCCCTGAGTTCGTCATCCATATGCCATTCTGGCATGAGAGAACTGCGCCCTGCGTATCACGAGCGATGAGGCCGTTTGGATAACACCCTTGTCCCGCCTGCGCGAGTCCCCAAAGCTGCAGATATTCGTTGGTTGTGAGGCGGCCTCTGAAATACCCGTTTTGTCCGGTAATATTCCCGTTCACCGATACCGCGCCGCCAAAGTTACCCTCCCATGCGTTGATGTTACCGCTGAATTTCCCGGTGGTTGCATTCACGGTCCCGGTGTTATTGAGGTTGTTCCCGCTCATATCGATGTCAGTTTTCATCGCATTCAGTTCGGGCCTTCCGGGCGTTTTAAAACGATACAGCCGGTCGGTATCCTCTTGCGATGATGACCGTGCAGCGGTTAAATCATCCGCGCTCAGGAGCACAGTCATATGCCCTGCGGTACCGTTGTTGATGCCGTAGCCTGTCAGTGCGGCTGTCCAGGCTTTCTGTGCGCCGGTAGCCACACCGGCTTTTTCAATGTAGCCCCCGTAACCCTGGCGAATATCACGGGAGGTGAGCAGCATGGCTTTCAGCGTCAGTGGAACACCGCCTTCAGAGACAATCATGCCCTCGAGACGGCTGGCATCTTTCCTGAGTGTCACCAGACAGGCTCTCAGCGTCTGGCCTTCCGGATTCTTCAGCGCAAACCCTGATGACAGCAGGCCCGCATCTTTCAGCGACTGCGTACCCACGCAGTGTGGTTTTCCGGCTGTCGGCTTGTTTTTAACAATGGTGTCATAGCGATCTCCGACATACTGCCTGACGGCAGCGGTCCAGGTGGTGAGCCGCAGGGCTTCCAGTTGCCAGTTTTTTTCGTCCAGATAGTCGTTATATTTTTGTGCGCCAAGCATGGTTATCACCATGATGATGAGCAATACTCCGGCGGTTTCCAGCGTTGCAAAGCCCCGGTCGGACTGTGAGATTTTCGTTTTTTGTTTCAAGGCGTCACCCAGACTGGTTGGTAGAGAAAAAGAAGCTGTTGAACGGTGGCGGCGAGGGCCAGCCAGGG